ATATACGTACATTAGTTAGTCATTCTAAATATATTATTACAGGGTATTATAAGTCTTAATTATAAATAATGTATTTATTTTGTCTTGCTAAGTTTTTCATTTTACAGGGTATCACCAAGTTAGTTTATCATATACGTACATTAGTTAGTCATTCTAAATATATTATTACAGGGTATTATAAGTCCTAATTATAAATAATGTATATATTTAGTCTATTCAAAATTTTTGCATTTTACAGGGTATCACAAAGTCTACTCCGTATGCAGCTGCCCTCGATTCTGAAGCTTATATGGTTACAGGGTATTTAAAGGGTATCTGCGATTTATAATATTTTTGTAAATTATGTTTTAATCACTTCTATCAAAAGTCGTACTCCGTATAAAATCATTCTAGGTACTTTACCTTGTACGATTACAGGGTATGGACCCTCTGTTACCGAAATTCGAAATATAATAATTTTGTAAATTATATCTTAAGCATTTCTACATAAGCTACATATATAATTACACGGTATCATGCCGTTTAATTAACACATAATTTTTTTCGTATTCAAAACTTGTTTTATTTTTAAGGGTATCATAAGCTGTACTTCTATAAGATTTTTAAAATTTACTCCATTCATTATTTCACTGTCTATTGAGTAGAATAATATAATTACAGGGTATTTTAATGCCTACTTTGTAAAGAATGTGTGCGGATGCATTTAATGACTTTTCGTATCCATTCTCTCTCTCTCTTTCTGTTACTCTCTCTCTTTTCTCTTCTGCTCTCTGTCTTTCTACCTCCTCTCTCCCGCTCCCACTCGCTCTCTCTCTCATCCCATCTCTCCTTCCCCCCTCTCACGCTCTGCTTGGACCATAAACGCCAGCCAACTATTAAGTTTATATTAATTTGGTTTTTCTTATCCTTAATTTTCCTTTACATTTTTTTTTTTTTTTTTTTTTTTTTTTTTTTGGCAACAGTTACTTGGCACATACGCTGCTTGGCGGGCCTCTCGGCCACGGCTGGTGTGAGTGGCACGCCCATTTGGAGCATTTGCCATTAAATTGGCAAAAGATTTATGGTACAATTGCTTTAATTACAGTTGCAGCTAATTGTATGCAGCCCGGGGCAGATGCTCTAGACGAGAGCCACCCAGCTACAGCTTGAGTCGAGCTGGTGCTCCTGCTCCTGCTGCTGATGCTGCTGCTGCTCCTGCTGATGCTGCTCCTGCTGATGCTGAAATCTTTGCATGCTTTGTATGTGAGTCTGCATAAATAACTTAAATGTGAATCTCGATGAGCATAAGGTGAATGCGGAGCGCATGGATGGTGGAACCCATTGAAAATGCTGCTCACGCATTGATTCGAAACTGCCAAAAACACACACACACACACATACACAGGCATAGACTTTAGCTACGGCCCACACACTTAAGGGCCAACTCGTTTATGCAAGCGCAGTCATCATCATCATCATCACGACCAACGTCATCATCATCCACATCCGCATCCTCATCCTCATCCTTGTTCACATATCATTCTGGTCCAGCATCGTCAGCGTCGATGAGTTAGTCCAACTTCAATTCCTTCACAGACTTCGATCCCAGCTCTATGTAGATGTGTGCGTGTGTGTGTGTGTGTGTATGTGCGTGCATTGGATTTTTGGTGTCGGCTTTATGATAAATTTATAAATTAATTTTGCTGAAGAAACTTGCGAAACACCTCTAGTTGCTCGAAAGGCTTGGCAATAGCGTTTCGGTCGCCTTGAATCACGTACCACATGAATGCTCATTCATCTCTGTGGGCGTGGCAGTTCATGTATGCATGATAAAGCATCAGAGTTTATGCATAAACGCGTCAGCCCAGAAGATGAGCAAATTTATGCGGACTCAAGACTCAATAATACCCGATAGCATGGACAAGTATGTTAGATTGAGAGACAGCCAAAGCCCAAGCAGGTGGAAGAGATTGCGAATGCGAATGTGAATGCGAACGCGAATGGGAGAGAGTGAAGGAGGGCACAAGGCAAAAACTGAGAGTGATTGAAGGGAAAACACTTAAGGAATCTCAAATCAGATTAGAGGAATACTCATGGAAAATGGAACTATAAATAGTGCTATGAAAGGAGAGAGAAAAAGAGAGAGTGAAAGAGAGAGAGAGAGAGAGTGATAGAGACAAAGAGAGGTAGATAAATAGAGAGAGAGAGTGAGTGAGAGAGAGAGAGAGAGAGATAGAGACAAATAGAGGTAGATAGATAGAGAGAGAGAGAGATAGATAGAGAGAGATGATTCTAAAATTGGAAAGGAAGAATACAGAAAATGGAAATGAAAGTCGAAGGAAGGCATACGACTATATCTATATCTAGAGAGACAGAGATAGAGATAGAGCAAGAAAGAGAGATTTGAGAGCCAGACAAAGAGAGAGAGAGAGAGAGAGAGCGACCTCAAGTAAGGGAAACCAAGTCATACAAGGACTTTTGGTCTACTAAGCAAACTAATGAAGACATTTGAAAAGTTTCAGTCGTGAAATTGTTGTCATATTCAGTCGAAATTGAATTTTCTCGTCTTCTGTTCGTAATTTAGGCAAGTGAAATTCAATTTTATTCGAAAGTGAGCGGGAAAAAGAGAGGAAGACACGAATGAAAGCCGGCGTATAGAAGAGTAGAGAGATTATCCAGTTGGTGCCGTGCGGCTGGTACGCGTGGTGGACTCGTATGCGATGCCAGCAAGGCGAGCGAACACCTTTCGAATGGCAAAGTTCTGCCCGTGGGCTGACGCGCAGTAGGCAGCAGCCACGCCTTGACGTTGACAGGCGCACAGAATGAAGAAAAGTTTGTCGGGCAACATGCAATGCGGCACCCTCATCCAGCTGGCTGACATGCCAGCCGTCCAGTCAGCCAGCCAGCCAGCCAGGCCGAGCTATAATGTACATGGTACAAGTATTTAACACTGCTGGCGGGTATTTGGGAATCGGGCAGGCCCCGAGAAGGGAGGGCGGCGGCGGCGGAGGTATGGCGTCTGTCTAAGTGAAAAACAAGCAAATAAACGAGCGCCTGCTGCTGCTGCTGCTGCTGCAAACAGGCGAAGCTACAAATGAATCTAGGATACGGATACCCATGTCAAAAAATAAAAGTCCTGCATACGCCGCAAAAACCAGCCGCACCGTGCCTCTCGCCCAACAGCGTTTCACATCACGCTACTCGGCGGATTGGGGGGGAGGCGGGAGGCTCGTCCTGAAGCTTGACTAGGCCACGGGCAGCGGCTGTGGCAGTGGCAGCCACTGACTGGGCGCAAAGAAACTTGTTTGTTGCACAGAAACAAAAGCGTTTCCGCTTTTCATGTAAAATGACAGAAACAAGTGTTAATGGTTTTGAGCTTAGGCTTAAACAGAGATAGCTAGCGGGTGAGTCACTGAGCGAGACAGCGAGCCCTAGATGGACAGGCAGCGATAGGGAGAGAGTGATGCAGAGAGGAGAAACTTTTCAGCGAAGCTTGCAGTTTTGATGGGCTCTTTTGTATACCCTTTAAGCGGGGCATACAAATATGTAGAGTATAATTAGCAGAGAGAATCTCTCTTGAGGCATGCCAGATATGTATGTGCTTAGCTCGAGTAAAGCCAGCTTTGATTGATGAGACGTGATAAGTGGAAAAGTATACTCAAATGTTTCAATTTCCCTTAAAGTCATTCTGTCTTTCTAATATGTTTTATAGAGTCCATCTCATCCGTCTCTTCTGCATCCCATTTCTAACTCTCCTTCGCCTTCTTATTCTGTACTTCCTTTTTCACATTACTTACTCTATCTCTACCTCTACCTCTACCTCTACCTCTACCTCTACCTCTACCTCTACCTCTACC